TAAGCTTCTTCTTGGCGTGTCCATAAATATCGGCGCCCCTATTCCAGCGCTCGGTCAGTCTACGAAATTTCTTTTCAAATACAATTTTTTCAATAACTTTGCATACATTACTACTTTAGCGTACAGTATTTCACAAATAAATCAACTTTTTTTCAAATTAGATGTCCAAGACAAACTAAGCTTGAAGTTTCGTTGTGTCTTTGGAGGCTGATCAGCCTTTTTTATAATTTCTACATTGATTTATTCTCATTTTCATTTCGAATGAAAAAGAATTTAGGTCTTCGAAAAATTGAGGCTAGTAAGAGATTAGATTTTGGCTATTGGCAGTCAGTAAAGCCATGGTTTTAAAAACTCGACCTAATTTGAAAATTTTGCTCAAGTAGTTCAAAGGATCAGCATTTCACATTTTCGTAATTATAATACAGCGCTTGCAATAAAAATTATTAAAGATTCAATATTTCCGTGGTCATCTCACCAAAGATGTTGAAAATATAAAATATAATATTTACTTTGAATTTTTTAAAACGGGTTTTGAGTGAGCTGAAAATTATCAAAAAGTATTATTCCCTAGCAGTTTGTACGAAATAGGACACAGGACACAATGAAAACAAGTTTTATATAGTTCTAGAACTTAGAATGAAATTGAAGTGAATGATTCTTCACTCCTTTTAAAAGCAAATACATTTATGTAAATCTTGCTTACAATTCTTCATTTGTTTCAACTTCTTTGACGTTTGTAATCAGTTAGTTTTTTAGTTTTTCTTTCGCTTGATAGTTAGTAGCATAATATTTTGAATGTTTAATTTTGTTTCATTTGACTCATAGAAAAAGTTGTGAGAAATTTTCTATTTCACTAAATTGAAAAATTTGAAGAAAGTTTAATTTGTCTGCTAACGCAAATTTTAATTTTGTCAGAATTTGGTGGCAAAATTTCAGTTGGAAGACCTGAGAGCAAGAAGAAGATAGATGCCAAATTGGCTCTTTCGATATCTCTGACGTCAATTGATGACATATACTACTACGCAAAAGTCAGTTCAATGACAGTAGAAGACATCTTAGATCTGTTTGAATTGAAAGCCCCTAACGCTCTTAAAGATACTGGGTTTCCTAATGGCTTCACCGTTGCATTTTCTCTCAGCCCATCAGGTCAGTAGAACCCCGTTATAACGTACTCGGTTATTACGTACTTCTTGGTCCCGGTAAAAGGTGTGCTTGGTTTTAGTCAATGTTTACTTACCCTCGTTACAACGTACTTCGGATATAACGTACTTAGTACACTGGTCCTTTAAAGTACGTCATAACCGGATTATACTGTATAACGTACTTAATACTCTGGTCCCTTAAAGTACGTCATAACCGGATTATACTGTATAACGTACTTAATACTCTGGTCCCTTAAAGTACGTCATAACCGGATTATACTGTATAACGTACTTAATACACTGGTCCCTTAAAGTACGTCATAACCGGATTATACTGTATAACGTACTTAATACACTGGTCCCTTAAAGTACGTCATAACCGGATTATACTGTATAACGTACTAAATACAATGGTCCCTTAAAGTACGTCATAACCGGATTACACTGTATAACGTACTTAATACACTGGTCCCTTAAAGTACGTCATAACCGGAAATATATACTGTATAACGACTTATACACTGGTCCCTTAAAGACCGTCATAACCGGATTATACTGTATAACGTACTTAAATACTCTGGTCCCTTAAAGTACGTCATAACCGGATTATACTGTATAACGTACTTAATACACTGGTCCCTTAAAGTACGTCATAACCGGATTATACTGTATAACGTACTTAATACACTGGTCCCTTAAAGTCGTCATAACCGGATTATACTGTATAACGTACTTAATACTCTGGTCCCTTAAAAGTACGTCATAACCGGATTATACTGTATAACGTACTTAATACTCTGGTCCCTTAAAGTACCAGTCATAACCGGATTCTTACTGTAAACGTACTATACACTGGTCCCTTAAAGTACGTCATAACCGGATTATACTGTATAACGTACTTAATACACTGGTCCCTTAAAGTACGTCATAACCGGATTATACTGTATAACGTACTAATACTCTGGTCCCTTAAAGACGTCATAACCGGATTATACTGTATTAACTACTTAATACACTGGTCCCTTAAAGTACGTCATAACCGGATTATACTGTATAAACGTACTTAATACTCTGGTCCCTTAAAGACTCATAACCGGATTATACTGTATAACGTACTTAATACACTGGTCCCTTAAAAGTTACTAAAACCGGATTATACTGTATAACGTACTTAATACTCTGGTCCCTTAAAGACCGTCATAACCGGATTATACTGTATAACGTACTTAATACTCTGGTCCCTTAAAGACCGTCATAACCGGATTATACTGTATAACGTACTTAATACTCTGGTCCCTTAAAGACCATCATAACCGGATTATACTGTATAACGTACTTAATACTCTGGTCCCTTAAAGTACGTCATAACCGGATTATACTGTATAACGTACTTAATACACTGGTCCCTTAAAGTACGTCATAACCGGATTATACTGTATAACGTACTTAATACACTGGTCCCTTAAAGTACGTCATAACCGGATTATACTGTAACCATCTAGGCTAGCTATTAGGGGATCGCTTAACACACACATAAGAGAGTTCTTTGATGTGACGTCACAAATAAAGTGCCTTTAGAACTTTTAATTTTGACAAAGTAAAGTAAAAGAACGCTATGAAAAATTTCTAAAAATGCAAAATAAGCTAAATATTTGAAAAATCGGCTGAGAGCTCAATGAATGATTTGAAGTTTGCCAACGGATTTCTGTTATTTTTCTCCGTTCATAAAGTTATAGAGGTTTGATGGGGAATGTCCCTGTGCTCATCTGGTCATATCTCAGCCAATTTGTAACAAAGTCAACTCAATCTGCATATTTGGAGGTATTTCATGATGCACATTCAGGGTATGGGAAGCAAATTCAAACATTTTAAAATAGATTTTTGCGACGTCATCATTTAGAGATTCTAGTGGGGAAATCCTTTATTGGGTACTACCATTTTCCTACCGAATCGTCCATGATTCCCCATATGTAAACTTTTTGGTTTGTCATCGTTCTAAAACCTAATTTTCTTATTCTTTTTTCGTTGTTTTTTTCAATGTTTTATTTCTTCTGTCTTGCTTTACAGTAAATCAATTTCCTTTTACATTAAATTCTGACAAGTAAAAAATCACAATAGAGATCATTTGCTTCAAAAACAGTTGTAAAACCATCGTTTAAAGAACATCAAATCCAACACACATCCCCTTATCCTGATTCTCCAATGAACAAGGTGCCTTCGCCTACCGCCTATTTGTTCTACTTTTTCACGCATGCCAATGCCTAAATTTCAAACCATCGGCTGTTCGATGCTGTAACGACAAAACTGTTTACAATTTGGTATGTAAACAGGACGTTTCGAAGTTGCAATTCCTAGCTTTACGCTGAATGCAATCATGTGGCAACTGTCCTGATGATTCAATTATCAACTTGTCTGATGAGGGAGTTGCATTTAGCTTGAAGTCGGAGTTGCAACTTAGAGCCATTCTACTGTTAACACGTACACTGAGAGGACAAAAGTATAGAAACGATAGTCAATAATGGCGGCTCACAGTGGCCAAGGGTCCAACGCGATAAATCTTCGAAACAAAACTTGAAGGAATATACAACTGTTTTGAGAAAAAAAAATACGGGGAAACGTTGAACCAACATTCAGAAAAATTCTGAAAAAATTTATCGAAGCATTGATAAACAATTAAGATAAAATGTTGCCAATTTTGAGGAAGCACAGCATACTTTGTTCATACTGAAATCTGGATACGTTGATGTTTAAACTGACAATAAAATTATTACATGGAAGATTCTTTTTGGTGAGATGTTAGCCTGCAGATTATTGATAATGAAACAAGACGAACACGGTTCAAAGGTGACGTTTAGCGATCAAAATAATTTATTGTCTAAAAAACATAAACAGCTTGGATTTAAATTATTCTATTCACGATTTACAAAAGCACAATGAAGATAAAACGTTTTACTTAATGTTTTTGAATTGTTACTTGTTTAGATGATGAACATATTAAAAATTCAAAAACCACAGTCTTTTTAGTCAAATGAACAGCGACTCACCTGGTGTCAATGGTGAAACTTTTAAGCCCTAGATTTCTGCTAAAACAGTCTTCTAAGTGATAATTTTGTCATCAGAGCTAAACTTGAAGTTTCTTTACCAATATTTTTATTTAAATGTTATATCCTTTTTCAAAAAGCCTTCATTTCATTGTCACTATTTACAAATGCTTTAGAAATTTTGTGGAGAACAAATTTGAAGCAGTACTTCAATGTTTTACTGAATTTCCTCCTTTAAACAGCAAACTAATCGTTCAATTTTGTTTTCGACTGAAACTCTGTAAGATGACGAATGCATTTTCGCGCCATTAACTATCGTCCCCAGCCCCTTCACCTAGTAATTATGTTTCGGAAATTTATCACCTCAGGCCCTTAGCCACTGCGAGCCGCCATTTTTAACGACCGTTTCCATACTTTTGCACCCTGTGTAGATCTCGCGAAAACTACTCGTAAAATGTAGATCCTTGCGTATGTAATTTGAATTGAAAAGTTGGATCTGCTCCTAGGCTGTTTAAGAAACCTTGCGTATGTAATTTGAACTGAAAAGTTGGATCTGCTCCTAGGCTGTTTAAGAAACCTTGCGTATGTAATTTGAATTGAAAAGTTGGATCTGCTCCTAGGCTGTTTAAGAAACCTTGCGTATGTAATTTGACTTGATAAGTCGGATCTCTTCCTTATTTACATCTGATTGAACTATTTCTTGATTTAATTCTTTCTTGTGATTTACCCAACAGGAAAAGAAATAAAAGCACTCGGTAAAAGAATTGATTCTGGACTAACTATAATTGGTGATTTGAGACTGTTCGAATTGCAACTCTCGTGCAAGATTACAATCGACGCAAACCAACCGAAGTTTCTAATATACATCCAAATGTCGGCCATTAAGTTAACCTTGATATCATTCACAAAAGTTCGCGGTGATGAAAACGAAGGCCCTGAATTTTATGCTGAGATTTCTTCGAAGAAAAAAGAAGTGAAAATCAATGCCAAAGTTACAGTTTTAGGTATCAGTGCTGGCACCGTGATCCAGGTATCTGATTCCCACTACGTATTCACTGTCAACGGAAAGATATTTGGCACGTTGGAAGCTGAATTGACATGCAAGGCAAAGTATGCCAGTCTCAAGGATGCTGAGTTTTCGGTAATACGCCATAGATACATAGGCTATTTATATAACTGCGCGCAACGAAGGAGCAAGCATAATATTCTATGCCACAGCAATCTAATCATTAACCACTCACGCATCACACGCAGTAATTTGCAACAATTAGGTCGTGTCACGTGATATTACACCCAGCTAAAGTTGCAAGTTTGTGCGTCATATTGATAACAGTGTGTTTCTAGTTATGGAAAAGTGCATGCCTGGCCAATGACCTTCGCTACAGTGGGGATATGAGTGTGGGGGAGGTGTAATACCCTCCTTGGAAAATAATTTCACCATTTTGTTTATATGTATATTCATTTTCAACTATTTTCATAGTATATTTTTAGTTTCCATGATTGCTTGATAAACTTTCAAATCTTACAAATGCTTGAAAATAATTCGTTTTTCATTTACCTACGGTTCAAATTTGCAAGCAAGAGGGTAGGACAATTTTTTATTATTTACATCTTTATCTTGAAAAGCTTCAAACATGCTATAATAGAATTATTTAAAACAGTTTGAAAGAAATAGAATTACTCACACTATACAAAGAAACGGTTGTTGACATGTTTACATTAATTGATATTGCCATTCAATCAATAGGAACATTTACCAAAATCTACGAATAGAAATTCCTGGTTTAATCTTTGATCTACTAGTCCATCATTTTCAATCTTTTAACTTTGTTCCATCCAGCCAAAGATTATTTTTCTTGCGTGTCCTGAATTTTTTCATTTCTTTTAAAAAGGTTGCTGGAAAATTAAGTTTTAAAGATACTAAAGAACTTACGAAAGAAGTTGAGACACAATTAGATGATGCAAAGGAAAAAACCAAAGTTGTAATGGATGAAACTGCCAAGGCTTTGAAAAATATAGAAAGAATGGGACAAACGCAAAAAAGCGCCGAAACCAGATATAAACAACGATTGCTAGATGTACAAGAGGAGATTAAAAAAGATGTTGCAGACATCAATAAACTCACCGAAATCAAGGATTGCGTGAAAAAGTGTAAACAAGGTGAAAAAAGATGTTTAAATAAAGCCATGGATAGCCATTTGTAGTTAAATAACCATTTAAAGCTAGCACGATGAAACAATTCATAGCTTTAAGCACGATTCGAACAGGCAAAACTGGCAAAAATGGCAAAGATTTGATTATTCACCAGTCTTTTGATTTAATGAAAACACTTTTGGCATATCCCGGCTGCTTTAGCTGGTATAAGTATCTATAAATTGCTTTGGTTAATTTAATCTGATATTGGAACAAGCAAGTCCTAATGATAAATACTGCTCTGGTCTTTATATTTTCATTCCTAAATAGCTCGAACGTTTACAGACGAACATCTAATTTTTCTTTCATTTCAGTGAGCCTGGGTGGTGTTGTTTGGAAGGAGAACTGCATCCTTGTCTCTGACATAAACGGAAAGAAAGAGTACGTTGGATGTCCAGAATGGAAAGACAGTATTTATTCTTATCCAGACCTTGGCTGCATTGCAGAGTGCAAAGGAGAAAGTTGGTACGAGGTCTTATGGGCAGATACCAAACAAATAACTGCAAGGGTAATACTTTGTCATTTGCTACATACAGTAATGCTGCAGTAGTACTACAATAATGCTACAGAATTACTACAATAATATTACAATAATACTGCAATGCTACAGTAATACTACAGAATAACAATATTATACTATAGTAATAATACAATAATAATACTTCTGTACGTGATGATACAGAATTTCTACAGAAATGCAACAGTAATAATACAGAAATACTACGAAAGAAGTAACACTACAGAAACTGCTTATGGTGCCAAGGTAGAAAAAGGCCTAGCTGAGAGTTCTAAGACGATTTTATTTTGCATTTTTCATTATCGTTGTTAGTTGATTGAATCTCTTGAGATTAATTTTATCCGTGAAACCAAGAATATCCGTGAAATATTAGTCTAATAAATCGATAGCCAACTTTCTTATTTCCCAGGGCGGGCTGAGCCCCCAAGATTTCATCAGGAGGGGCTCAAGCCCTGGAGCCCCCCTTAAATCTGCTTCAAATATCTCTTGCTCAAGGAGCATCAAGTGTTCCTTTTGTTTTTCTACCCGTGAAAAATTCATTACGTTTCTTAATATCGTTTTTTCATCAATGATAGAAATCATCGTGATTTCCTCTTATTCAAATCAGGTGATTTCCTTTGCATGAATGCAACCTACAGCTGACCATACAGTTTAATCTAGACTTTATGACATATATAGATAATTGTTATCGCTTTTTACCACTTGGTTTCTAAACATTCCTCAAACTTAATGTGAATATATAAAATTGACTTTGAATGTGCTTAAGACAAGCTGATTCCGAGTTAAAATGAAGCCTACTGTAAGCTAAATACCTCTATGTTTCTTCTCTTTCTTGTGCACTGTAGATTTCTGATTCAATCGGAGAAAACCTCGACTCAGCGATCAATTTTTTCAAAGAGGTTTGGGACAAAGTGGAGGCGCTTGTTGACGATGCCAAAGTGCTTTACGATAAAGTGAAGAGTGCTGTAAAAGCCGGACTGGATATTTTGGCTGGAGCTTTGACTGACGTCATTAAATTTATAGGTGTGACCGAGGCTTCTTTTGAAACAACGCTGAAAGCTGCAGCCACGGCAGAGATCGAGTTGGCTGTAGTAATTGATGGGAAAAAATACAACGTTAAAGCATCTTTGAACGGGAATGTGCTGAAGGAGATTAGTGCAGTTATTATTGAGCATGTCTACAGTGGATACGGCAGTCTTGTGGGTGGTTTGAAGAAAGCAAGAGGCTACATCTCAGACGTTGCTAGCAAGTTGGGCATTGTAGAGAAGGAGTTGGACAAAGCTAGTCAGGAGAAGTCTTCAAAGGGAACTAGAAGAAGCTATGTACCTAGTAAGAAGGAAATGGAAATTAAAAGACTGATTTACGATCCATTGCCAAGGCCCGTCCAGAACGATTATGCTACAGTTCGAGTGTTTGAAAATTTCAAACCAGAGAAACTGATGGCGTATGAGTCAATTCCAACAGAGAAGAAATACAGAATCGAGGACCATAGGCCGTCGCGAAGAAGCACTATAGATGGTGTGTATAGTCAAAACAAACAGGCGCTGCGAGTATCATTTGACCAAAATAACATTCTGCCTACTTTAGGTCACTATCTGACGTTCATACTCTGTGGAGCGTCGGATGAATAGTACTTCAGTAATGCTTTTTCGTGTCACCAAAATTTTCCAGATCAGAGTTACCAAAATTTTAATTGGACATTGTATGTCGGTCCCAATTCATTCTCTTGTTTTGGAATATATAAAAAGAAATAAGTCTATTGTTTTCAACGCATTATGCTCTCAGCGCATTATCAAAAATTTATTGAACTCATTTGGGAGAGGCTATACGCAAATTAAGCTTTTTCAAAAATAAGGACCTAGATCTTCTTATCTTCCTCCACTAATGTTTAATGATAAAATTTCAAAATATAATAATATCTATTTCTGTCTGACACTAGCTGATGTAAATCCCTTATCCTATTTTTGCTGACCAATAGTCTTAATTGAAGTTCACAAATCTAAATCATCTCTGGACAAACTCTCTATAACCAAATTATATATTTTTCTCTGACAGCTTTGAGTAACAAAATGGATGCTAACATTCTAACACCTTCCAGAGTAAGTTAACTTTCTTTGTTTATGAACGTTCTTTATAACCAATTCACCAGCAAGATTACAGATTTTTTTTTCTTTTAATAAAGATCCTTTTTTACAGCTCTCGTGAATTCTGATCCCTGCGATCAGCTGCGCTTTGTGGTTGATGGATACACAAAAATATCAAATATCCTTAGAAGTCTGAAGAGCGCCTTTATCCAGCAAGAGAAGAGTTTCCGTAGATCTGTATCACAGAAACGAAATAGGCTGAAGAAGATGGGAAAGACATTTGCAAGAAAATGTAATGTATTAAGCCCCGTTCAAACGCTCTCGACTTTTCACTCGACTACTCTAGATTTTTGTCGAGAGTAAAGTCGAGAGCGTTTGAACACCTTGTTGAGAGCAGTCGAGCGAAGTCGAGAGCAGTCGAGAGCAGTCGAGCGAAGTTTGAACACGTTCAAAAAAGTCGAGCGGAGTCACACAACATTCCTATTGTTCAAGGTGTTGTTCAGCGTTGTCGAGAGCGTTTGAACACCTTGCTCAACAAAGTCGAGCGTGCGCATGCGTTCTTCTGATTTTCTGATTTTGGCGCCAAGTTGTCAGTATGCTTTCACAGCATCTTGCCACTTCGCAGGAGGGATTTTATAATCAAACGGAAATCGAGTGAAAAGTCGAGAGCGTTTGAACACCCCCCGCTCGACTACACTCAACACTGCTCGACAACGCTCAACAAAAATCGAGAGTAGTCGAGTGAAAGTCGAGAGCGTTTGAACAAGGCTTTACTCTTTGAAGAAGTCAATTGCAAGAAAACCTAGCACAATGCCTGCCATAAGTCTTGACACACTACAATAAGTGTTTCATATTTTATACTGCATCCCCATATCCCTCTGTGGAGGCCAAAGGATTAACTTTTACAACCAACATTGTTTCTGAGGAGAGTAGGTGGGGTGTCGGTCTTTTTGCCGGAGTTAATTTGTTCAAAGCAGCACTTGACTAACTCGGTAGTTCATGGACTTTTGGGAGGAATTGTTTATTATCTAAAGAAACAATTTGCAAGAGAACTTGTGAAATTTTCAATCTGACAGGAGAAATGTTTTCTCTCCGGAAAACTTTCTCATTTTAAATACTCAGAAAATAAAATGTAATTTGGGCTTTAAAAGGAAAACAGCAAAAATATGTTCCTATATAACTGGATATTCTTTCAATACGTTATATAAAGATTTTTGCATTGACTCGGCCAATTTTTGTTCCATAAACAACTGACAAAATTAAATGAGTTGCTTTAAATGTTTGTCCCTTTATTGAACAACTTTTCAAAGTAATGACCACAAAACATTAAATCATAAAGTATTGTGTATAACAATGTCTAACTTTGATGTCATTTTAAAGGTAAAAAGACTCCAGGATGCAATTCCGAAAGGCTCGAAGATATTTTGCATTATGTTAAGAAGACTAGAGATGGTGAGCAGTATTATTAATTTAAATACTTACGATAACCAGAAAGAAAAACATCCCATCTAGTTTTGGTTGTACATAAATACAGATTCTCCTTAGCTTACGATTGTGTTTGGTTTCTTTACAGTTTAGTCAATTTGGACATAAGTCGAGGAATACTTATACCACAATTGTATTCTCTAGTTGTTACCGCGTCCAAAAGTTTTCTACTTTTGTAAAATTCCTTTACAAGTCTCATTGCTGTCTAAGTGACCATTTGTAAGGTTTTTTCCTGATACTGCACTTTAGATATATATGTAGAAAATATTCGAAAAAATAGAAAATTCATATTTATATATATATATATATATATATATATATATAAATATAACACACATTATAACTTTATAGTCACTGTGAGAGGTTGTAAATTTAATTAATCGTAAATAAAAAAAGTAGCAAGTCGAGGATTACTAGATAAAAATTTGATGGAAAAACCATTCTGTGCTGAGCATCCCTTCCGTTGTCAATTTTCAATAGGTTACTTTACCTTTCGACTACCTTTCGTGGTCACATTTCAATGTTAAACACATAATTTAATCTGATCCTTGATTTTCAAATTGAAAATGATGAATTGTTGACAAAAATCTGCTGCAAGTATATCTGAAATTTTTATATTAATGTTTTTGATGATGCTCAAATAGTTGAAAAATATCTAAATATTTTAAATTAAATTTATTTTTCAGCTACAACCAACTGGGTTCATGCAGTAAGATCGAAAGTGAAAAAGCAAAACAAAGAGGCGTTTAATATATGGAGGAAAAATCTAAATGCCATTTACAATAAGAGGAGAGGAATGAGTGTTAAGGAATTTGCAAGCGAGATGCACACTACAGCTGTTAGTCGGGCAGATACAAGGAGCTTTATCTCCCATGAAGAGGCAGATGGTCTGTCCCTAATTTCCAAGGTACGATATAAATTTTCCAAGTTTTTCATAGTGGTATCATTATCATATATGGGCAAACATCATGACATTGTATGCAATTCGAACAAACAAGAAAGCTTGAAACAAATCTTCTTTTAAGTTGATATGCAGTATTTGAAAATTACTTTTTACGAGTCTGTCCTAATAATGTACTCGATGTTTACTTTTACAGTATATATAGTTTGATTTAGGTGACAGGTTAGTGGTTGCTGACAACTAGGTGACAGATTAGCGTTAAAACAAATAAGCCAATCAAACACATCGTTCTTCTTCGTTGCTTCGATCTTCTACTGGATACAAATTTTCAGCTTACTTTCAGTAACTATCCGACCTTTATACTCAAAAGAGTGTCGGACGAAAATTACTTCAGTCTACTATGTTTCTGCCATTTCGTGCCATCTTTAAATTTTGCCGTACTAAAAACTTACAGATTGCTTTATTATACCAAAAAATGACAGCTTTTTTCTTTCTTTACCTTTCCAGTATGTTGGTGACCTATTTGATGAAAAGACTCCGATGACAATAATGGACGCATATCCCACGATTGTCAAAATAAACAAAAAAGTTGCAGAACTTGGGAAATCATCAAAGTTTTCGGAGAAATGCCAGAACGCTAAAAAATAGTTTAATTATTATGTCTTGAAAGTGCATACGTTTGACGAATAATATCTTTCTGCCTTTGTCTTGCGTATTCAAAGTGTATGCTTTGATTCTGTGTTAAAGTGCATGGCTTTAAGTCACTGTTGCCATATCAACTAATCCTTCACAGTGATAGCCCTGGTCTAGTTTAAATAATTAAACATCGTATGATGAGAAATCTATTTTATGATATCAAAACATCTATGGAAGGAAATTAACCGAATGAATATCTGTTTTGAACATTGTTGCAATTAAAAAATTATTTGTATTTTTAAATTATTTTTCTTTTACTTTTGGTACTACACTCTTGCAACAATTTGTTCGCACTATATCTAGCATTTTTCGTATAAGTAAGACAATTTGTTTTTTTTTTGGCCATATAAGTACAGCCTTATTTGATCTGCACTGGCTTCCAGTCAAACAACCCATGTGGTTAAAAATTATCCTGCTTACCTTCAAGTGCTTGATAGGAAATGCACCTGTGTATTTACGGGATATGGTGGAGAGGTATGTGCCCTATAGAACTCTCAGATCGAGTAACGCGTTGCTGTTAAAGGTTCCTCGTTTCAAGAACAAAATATTAGGTGCTGGAACTTTTGTCTATGCTGCAGCTAGTCTTTGGAACAGTCTTCCGTTTGAAATTTGTTTTGTTGACAATATTGATAATTTTAAATCTTCGTTAAAGACTTATTTATTTAAATTAGCTTATGATGTTATGTAATAGGTTTTAAATTGTAAAGTGTATATTATATTATATTATATTATAGTTATGCACTTTAATCATCATTATTATAATTATTATTTCTTTGAGACAATTAGAAATCGATTGCAAAACGGATAAAAATTATGGTATCTTTACAAACAGACACATCTCTGCTTTAAAATATTAAGAAAAATCAAGATTGATATCGAAAAGAATTTAGCAACATAGCTACTCTTTTGTCTTGCTATCAGATTTTCTTTCTAAAATAACAATTTTGTGAATTTTTTCCATAGTCTCAAAACATTTGAAAATTGAAAACTTAAAGTAAATAAGAAATTCACAACACTCATATCGAAAATTACATTATGAAAAACATTTCAGTTTACGAAGATTCACTGTTGGAATAACCAATCCGAACTTTAAAGTGCCTATGAAATGAAATCTGACAAGTTTAGATAAAGGCACACTTTTTATAAGCAAAACTGACTGATTTCAATGATATATGTTGAGGTGATTTTTTTTGCGGAATTTTCTAAAAATTTAGGCTGAATATCCCATTTTCACGTTTTCGACTGTGATAAAGCGCCATTATCTGTTACGTCACAAAGTTTGCAAACGCGGAGGCAGTTGACGTTTAGTACACGGAGGTCGTTAATTGAACTACCGTTTAAATAGCCGTAGGGGACAATTTTAAGTCAGGGTACATATCCAATCTTTTTTAGCGCATCAAACTGTCCTTCTTTGCAAAGTTTCATACTGTTGTACCAAAGTAAGACTGAAATACGATAATATCGTCTATTAAGATCTTGGGCGGTGTGGCCCAGTCTGAAAATATAAAAGGGGGCAATTTTCAGTTTTGTTCTATATCCTATCTTTTGTATCGCATCAAACTTCTCCAAAGTTTTGTTCTACTATACCTACTTTCAGGAGAGATGTTGTAATAATGCCGTTAGGGACTTTGGGAAAAGAACCCCATGTCTAAAAATAGCTAAAGGGGGCAATTTTTAGTTGGGTTCCATATCCTATCTTTTTCAGCGTATCAAACTACCCCTTTTGCAAAATTTCATGCTGGTAACACAATTTGCATGATTGTTTGACAAACAGCCCTGACTAAGTGGTATGGTGTATTTACTGCGAAGACGGAATCAACTACAAACCTTGTGACGTCACTGATTCCTATGCTTTGTCACTCGCACTCATTGTTTTTAAAACCCCAAAAACAAACTTTCCCTTGCAAATTTTCGAGTTAATTTATATTGCAACAAAATGTTGAAGTTTCAGTTTCTTACAAAAAAAACTATGTGAAATTTCATAGGCACTTTAATCAATTTAGAACATTATCACAAAGTTAAAATGTTGAACGTCCTTCAGATTCAAATTCCAATAATTTGTCTGTTTATACAGGATTTACTAATCTGTTAGCCAGCACCCTCTCGTGAATTAGTTTGTATATAGTTTGTATATACAGGTATGTAATTGGTTATACAGGAATGCTGTTAGCAATAAAAAAATGCTCTAATATATAACGTATTCAGGGGTTGCATTTAAATTAAAAAATCCTATTATTTCTGTACATTCCTATCATTTCCTATGATTTTCTAATTTCCACGGCCCGGTTTTTTAACTGCCTTCTAGAAGTCCCTGTTTTGAGGATATCCTGGCGAAATTCTCTTGCTAATAAATGATTTAAACTTCCACAACATCAATGACCAAAAAACGAGAGATTATCTCCCGATAAGCTTTTTCCGGCCTGGTCTTGTGGCAGCTGGATTTCTCTTGTGTTTCAACGGAGAGAAATGTTTACACCTTTCATATGTGAGCCAAAATACATAAGTGGTGCTTGCATGTGCACTTATCAACCAGAAGGGATGCGATTTGAGCATTTTTTATATATTAAACATCAAACACCTTTCTACAAAGGATAGTTATTTAGAAAGAGATACAGGAACAAAGCAATACGACGACGAGAATCCAATGTAATAAGTATGAAATAAGCTAGAAATATAGAATAAATTAAATTTAACGAGTTCGATATTTCGCCCCAGCATACAGGGTTTCATTGAATCCAGCAGACAGCTTTCCATGCGTTTTTCATTCTTACACAGTAATTTAGGCCAGTCAGGTGTCGGCAATATCAAGGTTTTATTTCAATTAAGCAACACAGCACAAGTGAAATTGTCCAAGAAAATTTCATTTTGTTTGCATTTTGTGTTGCATAAGAGACTGGAAAAAATGACTTGGCACGTGAGGCGCCATATTGTTCACGCCACCTGCAATAATACCTCTTTCAAGTCATGATTTTTTCCTATCTGTTTTATTTATCAGTTTTTAAAATGTTACAATTTTTTTTAAATTAAGCAACTATCAAACCAATTTTTTGAGATTTCGAAAATAAGACGGGAACTATAATGTTGTTTTCTGCTCAAAACAGATGGGCCTCACACGCCGCAGCTGTTGTTATGTTGCTTTGCAGCTATTTAGATGTATCGTGTATATCATAATGAATTTTTTTGAAGAAATGGAGAAGCAAGTATTATTACCTCATTGATCAAAGAAACTCTTTTGAGAAGGGGTAGAAGCAGGGCAGCCCACAGGGGGGAGGCGGCGAATCTCTCCTCCAGGGCCTCGCGGTCTAGGAGACCTCAAAGATAATAAATTGAACTTTAAGAATGGAATTAATCAAACCTAATTAAATAATTGAAACGTTTTAAACGGTTGCACGAAATGCCTGCAAGAAATATTCTGAAATGTATTTTAAGCTAATTTGAAGGGCGTGTTCAGGAAATTTAGAGAGCGTGGAGGTAGGAAGCTTCGCCTTCCGGTTTTGTTTCAGGGGCCCCTTAGACCTCTCGGCAGCTAGCCCCAAGTAGATGTCAATTTTCTCCAATTTTTCTCCAGACAATAAGGGGCTGGCGCACCCGCAGGTCCACTGAGTAGATAGGCACCATTTAATGGGTAGGTTTTATACAAGTCGATTAAATTTTCCAGACAAAGAGTTTTGTTTCGCTTGTTATCTATACTTTTAAGAGTAAACCTAAATATTTCTTGTTTTAGATATGGTTCGCATTGAAAATGACAACAAGCAATAATTTCACACATATTTATTCAACGAAGAGCTTCCAAAAAGTAGTTGAAGTATTGAAGCAGAGGGATCTTAGGTTCTAGTGCTTTTGTTTCTTCGACTGCTATGTTTATGATACTAACAAACTTCATTGCTTATGCAATTAAAACTTTTTAATGAGCAATTATACGAACTATGTTTGCTAAGTCGCTGTTTGGCCCTGTTACAGAGCACACTGCGAGCGAGCAGATGACAAAGAGCTGCTTTCTTCTAGAGATTCTACAAAACGCACCGATAAAAAAATAAACAACATCGCAGCGGCTGAAACTTGATATTTGATGTTTGCAAAGAAGTTAGCTTCTCATAATTGATACAATGTCAGCCTTTGATGTCTGATACAATAGACTGGGAATTTTCCCAACAATCTGCTGGAAATTTCACTTAATTAGACTGCCTTGGAACAATATTTTAAAGTTTTTAAGGTGACCAGAAAGATTTCTTCTCGAATATCAAGTGATCAGTGACGAAATTGGCAACGGTTAGAAATATATGAAAAGCGTCAAATTTGCTAACAACTAATTAAATATTTCCATTTGCGTACGTTTTTTTAATGGTAGCACTGTCACTAGTTTAGATTATTTGTACAAAACACAGGTTTCGTGGGATTGTCAATAGTATCAGGCTATCAAAAGATAAGTGGGACATTAAGTCGGAGAGTGCTTCCTTTCTTATCAACATGTCAACCATTCTGAAATGTGATCAACAGCTGGAAAAATCTCAGCAGTGAAGCAAAACTCTTTGTCACAACATACTATAGTGCACGAAAATTCTTGTAAGAAACTTCGGTTGAACTTGACCAAAGAATTATATTCCTACGTACAGCTACATATATTTTCAAAGGTTTTTGCAGAAAATGACAGTGCTAACTGATGTAGAAATTGAATGGAAACTTCTGCTAACGTCTGGAAACCACGCCCTACCAACTTTCCTGTAATCCATTCTTTCTATATCATTCCAGAAGAATTTTAAAATTTCTATCTTTTCGTCAATAGATTGTTGAGCAAAATTACTTTTTTTTGTAATACAACTTTATCATGTAAAGAAAAGACATTTTTGTCCTGGATTGAAGCAGGGTTAATTACAGTTCCAAGCTTCTGGGAGGCTGGCACTTGAAGTTGATATCAGATTCCAAAAAAGTTTTAGCTCCTTCTCCTGACCATTTCCTCAAGCTTTGGAAACCTTTCTCAGAAAACAAAGAAAGCAAGGTGGGGTTGGGCATAGTGCTATTGTTTCTTTTGTTTTCATAGGCCATTCTCAGGGTCATTGACCATATGACCGCCATGTTTTCTGGTTCAGGGGCAGCGGGGAGTGAAAACAAATTTCTATTAAAGTGATAGCAGTAATAGCACAGTCCGTCGCATCTTTTTAGCGTAAACTTACTCGAGACGAGCAAAGAAACTTTTGAATCTGTCAAACGTACAAAGTACAAACTTTTGAATCTGTCAAACTATCATGTTTACATATCTATGATTTTATCACGTAAAATGAAGAATTTAAATGAAGGATGTTTAAAATTGAATAAGGAAGATTATTGATATCGTATATATCATATCATATCGTTTGACGACATCTTCAATCAATGATGAAGAAAATCGAAAAAGAAAGCAGCTCAGCTTAATGCAAAGACAACTTGCAAACAAAAGAATAATCTTATCTTTAATGAAAGACCTTTCATTGACGTCTTTTCTGACGGTTTTTCACAATGGTGGAAAATACCTGTTGATGAACCTGCCTTGGCACAATACACAGACCGTAATGTTATAAATTGTGTTTGAATTCCCTTCTTAGATATAAAATATAAAGTCATCAACATAACATAACTGAAAAAGACCTTAGTAAGTTTGGGATAATTATTTGGTTGAACCGTCCTAGCAATGTGTTATATTGCTTTGCTGCAGTTTAAATAAACGAGCAAGTTTGAAGTTGATGATCGTGGAGGGCTAGCATTTCAGCAATCAAATTGTTGGAAAAGTTTGAAAATTGAACCGACAAGATTGTTTTCTCACAAGAATTGCAGCCATCTTCCAAAAGTTTTTGTACTGTATTTTTATTTTTACTTGCTACCTAGTAACCAAACGAAGCTTTACTTGTAGGCGATGAGAAACTGTGTTTTGTAACTATATGTGATTTGTAAACCGAATGAATCAATTTAACTTGCTTTTAAAATCAATAGCTAGCATTTCCACATTATATTGCTGTCAAATCCTTAAAATATTACTCCACAGAAATCCTTTTGAAAAATTCATCCCTTTCAAGAAATATCCTTCAAAAGTCCCCAATCTTATTGTTCGAAAAGTCCTCGAACGCTGTTTGGAAATTGTGATATTGTTAGAGAGATGAATCTAAGTTCCTATTTTTCATTTCGATTAGTCTATCCATTTGTCTGAACGAATGAGAAAGTGCATCATATGGGCATGCGCATTAAGGCGAATGCAAAATTTACGTCTTTTGGCTCATTACAGCATTCAATCGAACTTATTTTATATAAAAGTTGCATCAAATAAACCAGTGTTTCATTCTCACATTTCTCTTGAATTCTTTTTCTCTAAATTTCCTTCATCTTGTTTATGTTCCTACCACATGATATATTATGCAAGGGGAAAACAATTAAATTTACATTAGCTGCG